CAGCAGGTTTAAAACTAATAAGCGAAAGTTCTTCACACAGCACATAGTCAACCTGTGGAACTCCTTGCCACAGGAGGCTGTGAAGGCTAGAACTATAACAGAGTTTAAAGAGAAGTTAGATAAATTCATGGAGATTGGGTCCATGGAATGCTATTAGCCAGGGTGTAGGAACGGTGTCCCTGGCCTCTGTTTGTAGAAGGCTGGACATGGATGGCATGAGACAAATCACTTGGTCATTGTCTTTGGTCCATCCCCTCCGGGGTACTTGGTGCTGGCCACTGTTGGCAGACAGGCTACTGGGCTAGATGGACCTTTGGTCTGACCCAGTATGACCATTCTTATGTTCTAAGCTCAGGGCTCAGGGTCGGGGATCTCACTGGACCAACTTGATTTTCATGCAAACCTGCTCCTGGGTTCACATGGGGCCTTTGGTGGCCAGGCTGGCAGCCATTCTGTCCTAGATGGCTGCATTCCTGTGTCTAGTGTGGAGATTGTGGATGTTGGAGGCCTCCCCCCAAACCTCGATGAGATCCACGATCTCCGCACTAGACCAGGCGGGTGCCCACCTCTTGCAGCCCCGGGCAGGCTACTGGGATCCGCCAGCCTGGTCCTGGGAAGAGGCAGAGGGCTGGGTGGCAGCAGATGGCTAGCTCATGTTGTGCCAGGTGCAGGGTCTGCTGGCTGGGTGCTGGTAGGCTTGCAACTGGCAGAAGCACTGTAGCCAGACCGTGCCCCTGTGAGGGTTCCGGAGCCGGGAGGGGGGCAGAAGAGTTTCCCTGGGTTGGCCCAGAGTGGCCACTAGGGCAACCTGGGAAGGTCTAGCCTCCAACTAGTTTGAATTAAGTGGCTACACAGCCCTTAATTTGAACTAGGCGTTACTCCTCGTAGAATGAGGTTTACCTAGTTCGAATTAAGCGCTCCGCTAGTTCAATTTAAATTTGAACTAGTGGTTTGTATGTGTAGCCCCTATTAAAGTTAATTTGAACTAACGGCTGTTAGTTCGAATTAACTTTGTAGTGTAGACATACTCTAATAGACTAAATTATTTTGACGCTCACACCAAATTTGGTTTGGAAACAGGTTTGGAGGGTTCAGATCTGCTTCACTCACCTTTGAAATAAACACCAAACTCTGTTAAATCACAATTATTCTACTCATGTTTCAACTATTTAACTAAAGAAGCTTAAATTACTTTGTTTAGTTTCATTGCTCTTCAGATCAGCTTAGAAAGAAAAGAAGCAAAGCAATATAATATTTGCAAACAGTATTCTAATAAAAAATTAAAACATTGCTGATATTGGTTGTAACAAAACCTGTGTGATGTGGCAGCTAAGTGTCACATGTCATTTGTTTTTCCTGTGAGCACATATTCAAAATAATATAAAGTGAAACTACTTCCACGAGGCAAAAAGAACAAAAAGGTACAAGACAATACAGTATTGTTAGGTTAACCATATGGAAGCATTAAGAAAATGCTTATGTAAGTTATGCAATATCAAGAGTTGCATGTAACTTACATAAAACTATTTTAAAATACATAAAACCACCTCAAACAAGCATTGAAAAGTGTTTCAATGCTTCCTATTATAATTTATTTGCTAACAAAACAAAAAAATACATCCGTGTGAAAACAGTCTACTTTGTACTTTCCTTGCAAGCTATGCATAAGCATTCAAATGCATCTTACGTTAATGAAGAGTTATATGAGTTTCCTTTACCCCTCTACATTTGTAAGTCTTGGTCTATGAATCTGAAGCATACCTGTTTTAAACACAATAATGTGTGTTTGCTGCTTTTGCTTCTGTTTTATACAGTCATATTGCTCCTCAAGTAAAGTTACGTCCATCTTGGTTGGCTGCCTGTTACAGTCTGAATCCTGTTGTTCTGCTGTATGAGTCACTGAGAAAATACCACAGATACATTTGTAAGCCTGCACCATCTGTTTCCACAAGGATGATAAAGTTAGGCAGAAGCAAGATATGTCCTTCATTATGTTTACAAAGAGGAAAATCAAGTTTGCAACATCTAAAATGGTTGTTAGCGAAGCACTAAATTTTTGGTACGTATAGCAGCACCTTTCACTGGCTGGTTCAGTCAGAGTTGTAGATTCCAATCATCTTGCTTCAAGATACATTCAGTGTGTACTGAACTTCAGAAAACATTTAATGACAAGAACTGTTCGATTGAATTTAATGTTTACTCAAGGTTGAGGATATGAACCTTTGCCAAAAAACACAGGGAAGTACAAAACATTATTGAACAAAACAGTCAGGCGAACAAAGGAGTGCATGATATTGGTTTATGTACTAATCTCAAATTTTAAAGGAACAACATCATGTTGATCTGTCATGAGATTGCTTCTATCAAGACTTTAACATCCAGGATTATTCTATTCAGCCCTCCCAATCTAATTTTTGCTGCTTTGCCAAACGTCTTTAAATACTAAGATTCATAGTGAAAAAACTGTGCACATCAGCCTCCTTCCAGTATGTGTACATCCGGGATTGTAAATTGTGAACTAGCAGGGCTGCATGCTCTGGTAGATAAGCATAGGCATGGGAGTCAGGAGGGAAATTCTGGGCTCTCGTCCTGGCTCTCATTTAATTTTCCTTCCTTTCAGTTTTTCTATTTTCTAAAATGGGGGAAATTTTACTTGCTCTCCTTTGTAAAGCATTTTGAGACCTAACTGGATTCAAGTCTGAATTTGGTAAATTTATGGAGGAGATGATATAATGAGACTGCCAGCCAGGGCATACAGCTGGTGTGTGACTTCTAGAAGCAAATATCTCCAAAGGTCAGTGATAGGACACTAGATGGGGAGGGTTCTGAGTTACTATGGGGAATTCTTTCTCAGATGTCTGCCTAGTGGGTCCTGCCTGCATGCTCAGGGTCTAACTAATTGCCATATTTGGGATTGGGAAGGATTTTTTCCCCTGGGTCAGATTGGGAAGGACACTGGGGGGGTTTGCCTTCCTCTACAGCATGGGACCTGCATCACTTGCTGTATTTAAACTAGTATAAATGGTGGATTCTCTGTACCTTGAAGTCTTTAAATCATGATTTGAGGACTTTAGTAATTCAGCCTAAGGTTATGCATCTATTACAGGAGTGGGTGGGTGAGGTTCTGTGGCCTGCAATGTATAGGAGGTCAGAATAGAATAGATTATGATGATCCCTTCTGACCTTAAAAGTGCATGCACCTATGATGAAATGTGTTAGAAGCATGAAGTATTAATACATATTTGTAAACCATTTGCACAGTACCTATGTGACAGTCTTATAAGCAAACTAGGAAAATAGGGTCTAGATGAAATTACTATGAGGTGGATGCACTATTGTTTGAAGGATTATATCCAAAGAGTAGTTATCAAAGGTTTGCTGTCAAACAGGGAGGGCATATCTAATGGGGACTCACATGTGTTCTTCCTATGACTGATATTGTATTTAGGGCTGGTACATTAATGGGCTGGTACATTAATGACTTGGATTATGGAATGGAAGGACCCTTATTAAATCTCTGGATGATACCAAATTGGGAGGGGTTGAAAGCACTTTTTAGAACAGGATTAAAATTCAAAGGGACTTGACACATTAGAGAATTGGTTTGAATTCAACAAATGACATTCAAGAAAGATAAATGCAAAGTACTTCACTCAGGAAGCACAAATCAAATGCACAACTACAAAATGGGGAATAATTGGCAAGTTGATAATACTGCTGAAAAGGGCATAGCATTTAGTAGATTGCAAATTGAACATGAGCCAGAAATGTGATGCAGTTGCAAAAAACCCTAATCATTCTGGGGTGTATTAAAAGGAGCATTGTATGTAAGACATGGGAAGTAACTGTGCCACTCTACACAGCATTCGTGGGCCGGAGGTGGAGTAATGTGTCCAGTTCAGTGCAACACAATTTAGGAAAAATGTGGACAAATTGCAGAGTCCAGAGAAGAGCAACAATAATAAGCCCCAGAGGCATATGTAGGCCCAGAGGCATAGCAAGGGTGTTATGACACATGGCTGAGCCCAACTCTGGGAGGGAGGGGGGGGGGCGGGGGTGCTTGTACCACATCTTCCCCCACCCCCTCCAGTTTGGGGCCGGGCCAGGCCCCCGCATGCACTAACTCACCAGCAGAGATGGAGGAGGGTCGTGCTGGGGGCAAAGAGGCAAGGAGGAGGCTCCAGCCAGTAGCGGTGGGTGGAGGAGGAGCAGGCGAGCTGAGGGATGACAGGGGGAGTGGAAGGGTACTAAATTGGTGCCTCCCCTAGCGTGGCGCCTGGGGGCAACTGTCCTCCCCAACCTCTTCGCTACACCACTGCGCAGACTCCTCCAGGTCTGAACACTGGGTGTATGAACATGCCAACTCCTGAATTAGCTGTTGTTGGGCCATTTGCTGTTGTTATTGGGCCCCAATGTGTTGCAGTGTTTGCCCTAGTTGCTACTGTGGTTGGGCTACCTGCTGTTGCTGGTTCTCTGGCATCCATTTCAGCAACTTTTCTGTATCCATGGCCTCTTTAGGGTCATTTAGTCAATAGCCTGATGTTTCTTTCAACAGGAATTGGGTGATGCTTGAATTCTCCACCATTTGTCAGGGGAGTTTCAGGTTTAGTCCCAGCAGCACTGCCTGACAGTGGACCTCTGTTATGTTGCCTAGTGCAGCTAGAGTCAGACGGCCATAATGCCCATTGACAAGAGTCAATGGCTGCCTCATCTAGTGCTACAGCTGATGGCTACCTCACCTAATGGCAAAAGTCAGTGGCTGCATCACCCCATGGGAACAGTCGATGGCTGTTTCACCAAAAGACAGGAGTCAAAGGTTGCATTGACCAGTGACAAGAGTCAATGGATGCCTTGCAGAGCAGCTAGAGTCAATAGATGTGTCATCCAGTGGCAAGAGTCAATGACTCTATCACCCAGTAGAGAGAGTCTAGGGCTGCCTTGCCCAGTGGCTGAAGTCGATGGCTATATAGCCCAAAGTGAAGTCAATAGTCATGTCTAATGCTAAGATTTTGTAACAGTTATTTTTATTAAACATCACAGACAAGTCATGGACAATAAACAAAAATTCACAGAAGCCCTGTGATCCATCTCTGATGTTTACTAAAAATACCTATGACAAAATGGGGGGTGGGGGGGAAACTAGCACCCACTGCTGCTGCCACTTATGGCAGCTGGGGGGAGCAGGGTTGCCCTGAAGTGGCTGGGATCCCATCAGTTTCCAACCCAGAACCCAACGAAACAATAATACAAAATGTGTGGCCTAGGTTGACAAGGACTCATGTCTGCTCCCTGGACTGCTTCCTACCCTGGCTTCTGTTCCTCTGTCGGTATCCCTAGCTCGCCTCTCAATCCTTCCTGGAGTCCTCTCTGTTGGAGCTCCCAAAAGCTGTCCTCTCGTAGTCACATCTTGTCCTCAACCTAGGGTTGCCAGATAGTTCCAACAAAAATACTGGACACACTTGACATTTCATCACAATCTACATTGCATCTTATTTAGAAAATACCGGACATTTATACTGTCTCGTTTATATTTTCTCAATTTGTTTCCCGAACAGAGAGCTCAAATACTGGACTGTCTGGTTCAAAACTTGACATCTGGCAACCCTACCTCACCCTTTTTGACAGAAAGGCCTGGAGTAGCTTGGCTACCTCAGAAAGGCCTGGGGTGGCTTGGCAGTGAAGCCTGGGTCCAGCCACATCAGGCCTCAGCAGCTTCTTGGCAAGAGCTTGCAACACAAAACTGCTGCCCTGTGCCATCCCCAAACTGAACTGAGCATGCCTTGCAGGGGCAGCTGGGTGGGGCTCTGGGCCCAGAGTTGCTTCTTAACCTTTTCCTCACCAGTGTAGGGTTTATACATCCTATCACATGTGTGATGTTGACAATCTGTGTTTCAGCTGTTCTAAAGCTTTATTTTTATTAATCTCAATGTCTGCTGTGATTAAATAATTATTGTTTGGCCCACTATTGTCAACTTCTCCCGTAGTTTCTCAGTTGTGAAAATTTTAATTGATGAATATAAAAAAAGGCTTGAAAGCATAATTTTGTTCACTTGTGAAAATTTAAATAGAAAAAAAATCTTAAAAATAAACATTGAGATCATCTGTCAAAATTGTTTTAAAAATCAATTTTCACTATACCTCGTAATTATCTATGGATCCTCAGCACACTTACATCCTGGAGGTCATGCTCACTGCTTCATCTACAACACTCTCCTACATCACAAAGAGGATGATGAGACAAAACAACTGCTTCTCAGGAGCTGTGGATCCTTTCTGTAGGTAAGTTCCCCATTACTGACACTGGAGGACAGCACAAGATTCATACGTGTTGCCAAATGGGATGCACCTTTGGTACATCTAATTAGGTAACCTATCTCCAAGAATGACAGGTGCCTGATGGAGGAAAGTTAACTCCTCCCATAATGCACATAATGGCCAATTTTGTAATGCTGCTCTGAGTTGTGGAGGCAACGAGTGTCTCCTTCTCCAAACCTTCAGACTTATCTGCTTGTACTATGAAGTGTGAGATTTGAGTGACTTTATAGTTTTAACTGGCATTAAGATACAGACTTTATTAATGGTCATAAAAGTTACCCAACTCTTCCTAAAATCCAAGCACCAGAATTTGACTCAATGACAACCTCTGAAAATATATTGCATATCTTGACTATATGCTGCATAAACAATTGCCTTGATAGCATCCCTTGAAAGTTAAATTTAGATTCTACGCAACAGATGTGCATCAACCTATTAAATAAAAAAGGCATTTAAAAGGTATTAATATATATGAGGCAATAATATCCAGCTTATTATTTTTTTTAATTTGTATTATACTAGTGTCCAAAGGTAGCCTTTGCCCCCATAACATTACAGTCTAAATAGAAAACCACAAATAAGGAAGAGAAAGAAAGGGACAGTGTCTGGCTCAAAATAACACTGTACACCAGTAATAGAACTGGGAATAAAACCCAACTTTCCTGACTTCCAGGCTTGTAGGCTATCCCCCAGAACATGCTACCTCTCTAAGGCTGCGTCTAGACTGGCAAGTTTTTCCGCAAAAGCAGGTGCT